CCCTCCCCATGACCATCCACCCTCCCCCATGACCATCCACCCTCCCCATGACCACCCTCCCCCATGACCACCCGCTCCCCGCCATGCCCTCACCCTTCAGGTGGAACTCCTCCTCTGCAGGGCTCCACTCCACACGGCTGCACCAAAACTCAGCCACGGCGCTGACCACATCCCAGCCGCCAGCCTCCTGGAAGAGCTGCAGGTCCTGGGGGAGGAGCGGTGGGGACAGAGCCCGGCACCCACAATTCTAGCTCTCAGTGGACCTGCATTCCCGCCAAGGCCCACCCTTCCCAGCTCCCAGGAGTGAATGCGTGGCCCCCAGATGCCCGGACTGGCTCTAGGCAGGAAGTCCCAGCCGGGGGCGGGGCCACAGGAGGAGTGGCCACGGCCTGTGGGCAGCCGCCTCACCTGGGTGCTGTGGTAGTACAGCTGGAAGGCCAGCGCCACGGCCCCGTTGACGTGGATCTCCTGGGTCCCGTAGATGTCCTCGGGGCAGACCTCCAGGCCGGAAGCCGCGCTCTCCCAGGCAAACTTGGCTCCCTGAGGGTTGGGGGAGGTGCAGACCGATCCTTTATCAGGGGGCTTGGGAGCAGCTCACATATTTCCCAATACACTCAGCCTACGGCCAGAGGGCAGAGGTGGGGCACCAACTTCCCGGGTGCCACTGGATTGCCCCCCCGCCCCCGTGGGCCAGGTGGCCTCTGCCCAGTTTCCACTGTGGCTGCCCCGGGCACAGGGCAGTGAGGGGACCCGCTGGCTATCGGCCAGGCAGTTCCCATCTGTACAATGCAGGCCGGCAATGCTGCTGAGCCCCTGTCAGAACCCCAGATGCCCTTCACCCCCACCCCCCGGAGGGGTCTGGCGACATCAGCCCTCGAGGGACCCTGCGGGGTGGGCACTCGGGCCTCGCTCACCTGGTAGCCCAGGTTCCGGGCGTTGTCCAGGGCCCCGCCCAGCGTCTGGACGCGGTACTGCAGGAGAGCCCTGGCGGCCTGGGGCTGGAGCAGGAGGACATTGGGGAACATCCAGAGGTCCTGGGAGCACAGCCAGAGGGGCCCTTCGAGCTCTCGCACCCTCCCCCTGTCCCCCGCCCTCTTTCTGCCCTGGGGGGCCTCAGGGGCAGCGTAGCTCCTTGCTGCCCACCCGGGTCTGTCCTAGGCCCTCCTCGCCTGCCCGCCACACGTCCCCATCTCTAGCTGACACCCTCAGGTCCCTGGCCCAGTGCTTCCCCTCCCCAGGGGGCACCTGGGTCTGGCCTGGGGCTCAGGCCAGGATCCGGGTATGGGGAGCTGGCTTCGTGGCTCCCTGGCTGCCTGACCCGGAGGGTCAAGTGGGCCACAGCCCGCTCCTCGGGCTCCATGCCCGCTGGTCTCCGAGTCCCAGCTCTCCTGGCTCCCGCTCCTGCTGGCCTCACCGTCCCCCCACATTTCCTTAGCAGCTACACGGGTCTTTCCAGAGCCCACATCTGTCTGTCACACCCCAATTAACAGGCCTTCACGGCGCCTGCAGCCCCCCTACAACTGCCCTTCCAGCCTCGTGAGCCCCGCCCCCCGCCCTGGCCAGATGCCAGGCCCTCTCCAGCTCTGGGGCTTTGTGCCTTCCAGTGCCCTCGCCTGAATTGCTTTCCCAGCAGACTCCCACAAATCCTCCCGCTGAGATGCCACCGCCTCCGGGAAGCCTTCCCTGTTGCCATGGTCCCTGTGCTTCTCCAGCCACAGCCCCCAGCCCCGGCCAGGCCGTGCCCTGGGCCCAGGGACCCTCCGCCTGTGTGCCACCCACATCCACGCCGTGCAGGTGCGTGCTGGGGCGGCGGGTGCACACCTGGTCCCAGAACACGTGGCCCCAGTAGCATTCCTCGCAGCTCCCATTGGAGAGGCCCCCGGGGCTGAGTCCGTGGCAGACGTATCCTGGGGCCCCGGGCTCGGGCAGGGCGCTGAGCAGGGAGGAGAGGGC